GACCAGCATCCCAGAACAGCAACCGCCGCCGATGAAAAATAACATAGATTGAAAAGATCCAAACCGAAGACACAAGAACGTAGACGAACAACGACGAGATCCGAGCAAATCCACCAAAGATAGATCTGCCGGAGACACGCCTCCACACGCCCACCAACGATACTAGATGCATCGTCAGAACGGGGGCTAGGCGGGGAGACCTTTATTATTCGAATTAGAAAAACAATTAGCATTGGAATTACATATGGCCTCTTTAACCCTGTGGGATATTACTAGGATTACAAAACCACCGAAATTTGGATTTGACAGCACAGGAAAACAATTGATTTGTAAAGAGATTTGGGTGGGTGGCAATTTTCTTTTGAAATAAAGTGCAAATCCTAGGAATTCATGGAGCCAGATCCTCTAAAAAAACCTGTAAATTTCTTGGAACTGAGCCCTATGAAGAAGTGAACAAGAATCATATTCATGTGAAAAAAACTTCAAAAATCATACGAAATTGCTATGGGTCGAGCGTCGGAATAAGGGAACATGAAAAGAAAAGAAAAAATAGATAACTACTGGACTAATTTAGTCAACTCAAAACCCTCAATATACAGTTCCTCGAGTTTAATCCAAGACCTGAACTTGACGACAATGACAGAATACAACCACAACTAAAAACATACAGCAGAAACGATATATAGGCCATATAGAAGAAGACGGTGATGATCTACTGCGACTCGACGGACGGCGTCGTGTTGGCGGCTGAGCCGTGGTCCTTGGCGCCTCCGCCGAAGATTGGCTCGGCGAACATGGAGCTGACCTTGTTCTTGATGCACTCCCAGTGCTCGCTCGCCTGCGCCTCCGTGAACTGCCTGTACTGGTCCTTGGCCCGCTCCATCAGCGACGCCCCCTCCCCCACCGTCCGCTTGAAGCACGTCGACGCCGGCGCCGCTGCTGCTCCCTGGTTCTCCATCAAGCCCGAAAACTGAGATTGAAAACTTGTCTACGTCGATCGAGAGAATAAGACGATGTCGCCGGTTGTGGTTGTGGTTGTGTTGCTTTGGTGGCCATGGGGCTGCGGGGGCGTGGCTACTTATGCAGGGGGTGTCGGGGCGTCTTGAGGAGGAAGCCGGGTCCGTCATGGGCTTGGAGTTAGAACACAAGTTGGCCACACGAGAAACTACGTACTGAGTCCGGATCATCATCATGGAAGAAAACAAGTAAACACGGATTCTCACAAGTGCAAACGGGAACGGGAACTACTCCTTCTCCCTGTTCCCCTAATCCCCTTCTTTAATAATGTGCCAAGTGTAGTCTAGGAAGTAGAGATAGATTTGGGGGGTAAAAGGCCAGATGGCCCTTTATTCTTTTTCTCCAGTCAGTTCAGTGATGTATGTAATCACCTTGATAAAGCTTATCGATGCAATGATGCCGAAATCTCCCTTAGCAACTCCGGCGATCCCCTGCACCCCCCACCCCTAGGATAGATGGTGGGGCTAGTTCTTCTCCGGCGAGGTCCGGCCAAGAGGGGAGGAAGAGGAAAAAGGAAGGAAGAAGAAAAAATGTGACTGACGCGAGGAAGCGCCAAATCCGTAAGTTTTGTGGTATCTTTGTGCTTTTCATTTAGTTCATCATGTATTCACAAATTAAGGTTGACCCGGTCTCTTACATTTTCAGCTGCTATCATTAAACATACTCCCTCCAATCCAAAATAAGTTTTGTGGTGTTAGTTCAAATTTGGACTAAAACCATGTCACTTGTTTTGGATCGGAGGGAGTAGTTGAATATGTAAACTTGGTCGTGCATTGTAATTTGTCAACGCACTTTTAAATACCATTTTTGTCTTACTATTTCTGGTTCTTTTGACTCAAAACATGATGCACTAATCTGATCCTAATATTCATGCAAGTCTCTACATGATCTACTTTGTCTATTTGTTATGGGCAGTAGTGCCTTCTATACAATAACAATACACCTTCAGTGGTGATTAGTAATTGAAGTAGTTAGCTTATTTTGAAATAAGAGTTCTAAAACTGGGGAAAACCACTGTCAAATGAGTCTGACCTTTTTCTTTGAATACGGCTGGTTCAAGGTTTAGTTGACTTACTGGTACTTATTTTTTTCAATTTGATGTAAAATTTCCTTTCTTTGAGTTGACTTATTATGAGATTTTATATGTTATTTCACTGTTTCTTTTTTCACATCTTATTTATGTGGCAGTGTCTAATGTTATTTATAGGTTTTCAAGCTCCTCTTTTGCACCATCTACTACATGTTGGGGAAATGTATCCAATAACACAGCGGCATATACAGCTCCTGCAGATACATCTTCTGCTGTAAGTATTCCTATAGAAGATTATTCTTTCATGATGCATTTCATTCATAGGAGTTGGTATGTGTTCTCATTGATTAACTGTTCTGATGGAAGCAGCAAGGCCATATGTTTAGCTGAAATTTGTTCCCTTCAAAATCTACTCAGTCTGGAGGAAGTTTACTCAGCTCTTCGGTCGCCCATTCAGCACCAGCTCCATCGCCAAACGGTCATTCCACTACTGTAGGTGTCACTGAATGACTATATTTCCTGGATTTTTGTTTCTTTTTCTGATTTATTATTGTCGTCCTTTCAAGATAAGTATTGGTTAAGCTGAGAAAACTGTGGAGTTGGTGATACAGGCAGTCCTGCTACAGAGGTATGGCAATAAATCTCCATAGCCCAGAATTGTGTTGCAGGTAAAATGAAATCTTGTGGACCTCTTCATTTTTCAAGCCATATATGCTCACACGTTTGGGTTCATGAATATTCAGATAAAAATGCTCCCAGTTGCTTTTTGTTGCATCCAAAAAAGTTGAATCTGTCCATTTTGATTACCCCATAAATGAAATCCGCATGTCATTTTGCATAGGGTCATCATAATGTTGAAGCTTCAGCAACACCAGTGTCTTTCTGTATCTATCCTGGAGAGAACCAAGAGCTAACTATCCGATCAGTGGAACAGCATGAGGGGAAACCATCTAGTTCAACAGGTAGATACTCCAGAAACTATCAGTGGTATTGTATCAGTTTCTTAGCTTCTGGTACTAGTTTGTTCTGTAGACTTCTGATAGGTTGATGCTACATTATTATTTTTGAGACTTTTGATACAGCATTGTTTTCGTAGCAGTAATTTTCATTGTATGGCTCGGATTTTCTTGAGACTTTTGATAAGCTTGATGTGTTTTTGCCTTTTCTGTTTCACATTGCATCACAAACTTAAGTAGATGCAGGTTCAAGCAGAGTGAACAATATTTTGTTTTCCACATTAACTAGATACTCCCTCCGTCCGGAAATACTTGTCGAAGAAATGGATGTACCTAGATGTATTTTAGATCATAATTGGTTTGATGCCAAAAGTTGGCATGCCAATATTTGGCAAATGTCAAATGTTGGCTAGTGATTTGTTGGCTACCAATTTTTTTGTCAATCCCACAAAAAGTTGCCAAAATTTGGCAACTTTTGATTTTGTCAAATGTTGGCCTGCTAAATATTGGCAATGCCAAATGTTGGCATCAAACTAGTTATACTCTTAGTTCTAGATACATCCATTTTTATCCATTTTAGCGACAAGTAATTCCGGACGAAGGGAGTACATTTCTTTAAAATGGATCCACTGTCATGTTCTACTTGGCTTCTGTTATCCCATGGGAAAACTTATTGAAATAAGCTTTTGTTGCTTCATGCTAATAATTTGAGTAAGCAAAAGAATTTACTAGCATCGTTACAGTGAAGATTCCTAGGAGTATTGTATTCAAATAAGCTTTTACTGTTTCATTCTAGCAAGTACTTTATTCAAGCAATTCACCACTGGCCCAAGTTCTCCATTAGCACTTGTGGAGCCCAAATGTCAAAATATTTGATACTCCCTCTGTCCCATAATATAAGAACGTTTTTGACACTACACTGGTATACAAAACGCTCTTATATTTTGGGACGGAGGGAGTATCTTAGAACCGAAGCCACTTCATGCTATGTGTTGAGTTACTGACATCTTGTTCTGCTGGGGAACAAAAAGGGTATATCAATGGTGCAGTCCTGGCTAGGAGGAATCCATTTTGATCCTGTGATAACTCCATTTGGTGGTGCCCCTGTGAGTGAGTGTACAACTTGCAGAGCTTGCTGCAGGAGAAAGCAACAAGCCAGATTGCTCACATGTGAAGGACTTCAGGGTCGGCAGGCATGGCTACGGCAGCGTCAAGTTTGATATCGGCCAAAGTGGGAGCTGTTCAAGAGTTAGGGGGCATATAGCTCGAGCAGCATCCGCTCCCGAAAATGTGAGTTAAGCTTTAAAAAAAGGACAAACCGATGTGAGGAAGCTCGACATCGCATCCATCGTGGAGTTCAAGCACCGTGAGATCCTTATCTACACACATGGGAGCAAGAGACCACCTGTGGCGCAAGCCTGCAGAGCTCACTCCTGATAAGAAGACCGGGTTGCAGTTATAAGGAGATTAGGTTCAATATTAAGATTCCAGTCGCAAGGCTATGTAAAAAAATACTCTGTTCCTGAATGACACATCTTTATTTCCTTGAGTTGAGACAAGCTAACTCAGAGATAAGACGCATCGCCAGCCAGCCTCACCACTCTGGCACTGGCCGTCGCCGTGGATGCAATGACGACGTCGAGATCATCTTGGTTCGTTTCCTTTGCCATTCACGGCCTCTATGTATACGAAGAAAAAGGCTATATTACAGACGAATCCAGAAGTGGCCACACAAAGAGCAAATGCAACGGAAACATAAGTAAAGCAGATGCAAGCAATAGCACAGAATTATAGAAATATAGCTAACATATAATAGAACCAACAATAACGAACTGTTCCACGAGTACCACAAACAGCTAGCCGCGCTTAATGTTTGGCCAGCCAAAAGACAAAACCGATACAGCTAAACGTGCCAAAACCATCCAACGTCGACACTAAAGATAAAAACAACTAGGCGGTGCAGGGCATGAACATCCGACGACAGGCAGACTTGGCGCTTAGTCGACCTCCTCCATCTTGCTCTCACCAGCGTCGTCCTCCAGGGGCGGCATGTCGGTGTCGTTCTCAGGCGCCTCATCGTCCTCGTCAATGCTCAGGCCAAGCTTGAGCATGCGGTGGATCCTGGTGCCAAAGGTGTTGGGGTCCTCCAGGCTGAAGCCGGAGGTGAGCAGGGAGGTCTCGAAGAGCAGCATCACCAGGTCCTTGACTGACTTGTCGTTCTTGTCGGCGTCGGCGCGCTTGCGGAGCTCGTCCATGATGGCGTTCTCAGGGTTGATCTCCATGGTCTTCTTGCTTGACATGTAGCCAGCCATGCTCGAGTCCCTCAAGGCCTGGGCCTTCATGATCCTCTCCATGTTGGCGGTCCACCCATACTCGCCAGTCACCAGACAGCAAGGGGAGTCCACAACACGGTCAGAGACGATGACCTTCTCCACCTTGTCGCCCAGCACCTCCTTGATGACCTTGCACAGCCCCTCGAACTTCTCCTTGAGCTCCTCCTGCTTCTTCTTCTCGTCCTCGCTCTCATCGAGCTTCAGACCCTCCTTGGTGGCAGAGACAAGCTTCTTGCCCTCAAACTCCTTGAGCTGACCAATGGCATACTCATCAATGGCGTCAACCATGTAGATGACCTCATAGCCCTTCTTCTTCAGCTTCTCAAGGAAGGGAGAGTTCTCCACAGCCTTCTTGCTCTCACCGGTGATGTAGTAGATCTCGTTCTGTCCCTCCTTCATCCTGGTCACATAGTCCTTGAGGCTCGTCAGTTCATCACCACTCTTGGTGGAGTGGTACCTCAGAAGCTCAGCAATCTTGGTCCTGTTCTGGGAGTCCTCGTGGATGCCAAGCTTGAGGTTCTTGGAGAAGGCCTCGTAGAACTTGTTGTAGTCCTCCTTGTTCTCAGCAATCTCAAAGAAGAGCTCAATGCACTTCTTGACAAGGTTCTTCCTGATGACCTTGAGGATCTTGTTCTGCTGGAGGGTCTCACGGGAGATGTTCAGGGGAAGGTCCTCTGAATCAACAATGCCCTTGACAAAGCTCAGGTACTCAGGGATCAACTCCTCACAGTTGTCCATGATGAAGACACGGCGCACATACAGCTTGATGTTGTTGGCCTTCTTCTTGTTGTCGAAGAGGTCAAAGGGGGCCCTCTTGGGCACAAACAGGACAGCCTTAAACTCAAGCTGGCCCTCAACAGAGAAGTGCTTGACAGCCAAATGCTCCTCCCAGTCATTGGTCAAGCTCTTGTAGAAAGCAGCATACTCTTCCTTGTTGATCTCCTCTGGCTTCCTCATCCAGATAGGCTTCTGCTTGTTGACCAAGTTCCACTCATGAGAGACTTCCTTGATCTTCTTTTTCTTCTTTTCCTTCTCTTCCTTCTCCTCATCAACATCCTCAACCTTGCCCTCCTCAGTATCCTTCTTCTCCTCCTCATCTTCATCGTCAGAAATTTCCTTCTCGGTGGTCTTCTCGGTCCACAGGGAGATGGGGTAGCTGATAAACTCAGAGTGCTTCTTAACTAGATCCTTGATACGGCGCTCCTCTAGGTATTCCATCTGCAAGCAAATTGTAACGAATCAGATAATGAACAGTAAGCATGTGCAAACAAAGACTGTACACAAAAAAGATTTGAAGAACAGCCAAACATACAGCAATACAGAATCAAAAATAAACTACTAGAATACAGGTAGAAATTCCATGCAGATATGTAATTCCATAATAGAGTATTACAATTCAAACTGACATAATGTTTTATTGCAGGAATACTAAAGATGGAACACAGAACATCCAAAGCAGTAATTAAAAGAAGGTCAATCAATAAGGACAAGTTAATCCATGCATTGCTTACATATGAGAGCATTAGAATGCAGTTAACAAAGCTCACCATCAATATAATGATTTCACAGTCAAATTTATAAAGTAATTATACTACCAATCATGGTCAAAATGGTTGGGACGTCACTCATATTTATACTAGGCAGGCTACATATACTACAACAGCACAGATCTTAAACAAGCTGAGACAGGAATGATAAAATTATTGGTATCAAATCAACACAGAACTATCCCAATCCTAACAGCAAGCTGGTTAAGCAGTGAAGCCTCCCACATAAACATACAACTAATCACATTACCATCAATAATAGACAAATCAAACATGCTGATTGGCAACAGAGTTTATCTCATGCAGTGCAGAACTATGGACACAAAAACATACAGTTTAGATCAAGATAAGCCTATCTACCACACCGTTTGAAGCACAAAACATCAACACATGGACAGTAAGCCAATCATCACAGTTTAAAAGGCTCTGTATAGACAAGTAGATCACAGAACTGACAGGTTTAAGCTTATGCAGTGCAGACATAGATGCCACAATCATACAGTTCAGATCAGGAACAAGTGAAACAAGTAACCTACCAATAAAGCTACCCTAAGCACAGAACCTACATGGAAGACATGAAGAGTAAACCAAAAACAGTATAGTTGGCTTGGACTGCATACCTGGTCGTCCTTGAGGTAGAGCACCATCTTGGTACCCCTGCCGAGCTGCTCCCCAGACGTATCACGAGTGACGGTGAAGGAGCCACCGGCCTGAGACTCCCACACGTACTGCTCGTCGTCGTTGTGCTTGGTGGTGACGACGACCCTCTCGGCGACGAGGTAGGCGGAGTAGAACCCAACACCGAACTGCCCAATCATGGACACGTCAGCGCCGGCAGCGAGTGCCTCCATGAACTCCTTGGTCCCCGACCTGGCGATGGTCCCGAGGTTGTTGACGAGGTCCGACTTGGTCATGCCAATGCCGCTGTCGACGATCGTGAGCGTGCTGGTCGCCTTGTCGGGGATGATGTGGATGAAGAGCTCGGGCTGCGCATCGAGCTTGCTCTTGTCCGTGAGGCTCTCGAACCTGATCTTGTCCAAGGCCTGCGAAAATCACACACCACGTCAGCCCGGGAACACAGATCTGAAACGCATCTCGCACGCCACGAATCAGACCGCGGGTCAACGGATCTGGCTCGACGTAACCTAAACCCTAGCGACAGCCGCAAATCCACCATGCGCTCGGACGGATTCGTGCTAGCGGATCACGGGGAAAAAACAGAGGACGAGGGAAGGGGATCCGGAGGGGGGCGCTTACATCGGAGGAGTTGGAGATGAGCTCGCGGAGGAAGATCTCCTTGTTGGAGTAGAAGGTGTTGATGATGAGCGAGAGGAGCTGGTTGATCTCGGCCTGGAAGGCGAAGGTCTCGGTCTCCGTCGCCATGGCTGCGCGCGTCCCTGAGCTGCTCGAGGCGGAGGAGAAGCGTGCGGGAGGCGGCTAGGGTTAGGAGGGGTTTTGAGAGGACGAGAGGCCGCGGGGGTGGGAGCCTATTTATGTGTGGTCTCGTGGTTCTCGAAGGTTCTACATGGGCCTGCAAGCCGGGCGAGGCCGGCGCGCGCACGTTGACGAGTCGCTGCCGGTGCTTGCTCGTGGGCTTCGCGGCTAGGGTTGCGGTGAGTTTTGGAATGGTCGTCGGCCTTTTGGTCCTTCGTGGCCCACCGGGACCGGGGTTTTCCATTTTAGCCTGTCGATGACAGAGACCCGTTTGGTATCTTTGGACTTGGTTTTTGGAAGGCAAAAGAGTGGAAGGAAAGACGAGGGTTTAGGTGGATTCCAAACCGGTTGATTGGGTGTCTTCGGCAGAGGAAAGGAATTACAATTCCTTATTACAAAATCCATGTGATTCTCCTCAGGTACAAGCAAATAGCTTACGTTACTCTTTTTTATTTATAAACAACCGGTAAAAGTGTTGCTTTTTATGAATTATTATTATTAAAATGGAAGAAATAATTTAAAATTATGTTTAAGTGAAACATGCTGAAACCCTCTTGCATATACAATACAACATACATCACTACTCATGGGCTTGTGCTAAACCCTTTGCTGTCAAGAAAGCTATGTTGCACTCGAAAGTACTCTTATCGTCCCGAGCTCAAATGAGCTCCGTATGAACAGTAAAGTCAAAAAAATGAAAATAAATTCAAAAAAACTGAAAATTTTTGTCATGAATGTTGTCAATGCTTGCAAAGTTTCATCGTGAATTGACATTTGTGCAAGTCGTGGCAGAAAACACAAAATCATCACTCCAAAATGCTTATGAAAATAACATTTTTGGACAATCTTTTTTTTCCACGACTTCTACAAATGGCATTTCACTATGAAACTTAGCAAGCATAGACAACATTTTTCAATGTTTGTCACAAAAAAATCATATTTTTTAATTTCTTTTCAATTATTTTTTATTTAACTGCTCATACGAGCTCGAGCTAAGAAACTCCATGTCATGTTGCACTCTTCTTTTTCTTTAAGATTTGCATGGGAACCCGCTACTATACAAATAAAAACCCAACAACTCGTACATGGTGACTCGACCACTGATGGTGAGAACTTGAACCAAGATGGTGCGTTAGACATATAACTCCGACTAAGTGAGCTATGCTCACTCCATTTAGCCCGCGAGTTGATGTCTTTACTTTATGCATTCGGTTTATTTGGTTCACATGGTTCGATGTATGTGTATTTTGGGTTGTACGATATTAACACTTCGGTAAATACAATATGAAATTAGGATACGGTTCGGTGGATATACCGAATTATTTAGTATGGTTTTGGTATATATACCATAAAAAACCAAAGTTGACGCGAATTTAAAAATCACGTGCGATAATTTACAAATGTATGACTCAAAACACATACTTTTTAATACAAATAGTACATAACTATATACAAGCATATATGCATGCATGGATTCAATGGCTATGGACGTGCTTAGCATTCTTTTGAAGAGAACTATGACTATGTTACAAGAAAAATGGATGTTCTTAATAGGGAATCTAGCTCCTGTACAGAAAAAATGACTGCTTGTATGGTTGTTCGCCTAAAGAAATATAAATATATTTTTTACTTCGGTTTATTTAGCTAATCATTCAGGTTTTCGGTATATACCATAAAAAGCGGATTTGAATACGGTATGAAAAGTTCATAACATACCGAAACCAAAACCCATAAAAGTCGTAAAATTGGTTCGGTTCGGTTTCTTTATGGGTTTTCATTCGGTTTTAAAATGTACTTATTGCTCTTTTCAAGCCCCATAGAACATTGCATCCTACAATCCCCATTCGAAGTATAATTTCCTGGCTTAAGCATCGTCCGTTTTGCATCTTCTGACCAGGTGTATTGTAGCATCTAAAAAGACCACGATGTCACCTAGAGGGGGTGACTAGGCATTTTAAAAACTTATACGGATTTGGTTTTATCCTAATGTGGATACTTTTTCAAGCACAAATAAAAAAAATACTAGGGTCAACTAATGGCACCAACAACACACTCTAATCAAGATGCGCACAATGAGGATACTAGCAAGCACGAGTAAGGGCCTGTTCTGATCTTCTCCCACTCTAAACTTCTGAAAAATTTGGACCGAAGCAGGGCCGAACGGAATAGCTTCTCGAAGCTGCAATCCAGGAAGCCACGATGGGCTGCAGTTCATTTTTTTTGAAGCGACCGATTCCCAGCTTCACGTATTTGTGAATCGGAAGCTGCAGTTATTTACGACCGGATTGCCACCGCCAAGAAAAACGGTTCGCTCCTCACCTCCAACTCGCTCCATCCCGTAGAACCCCCCTCGCTCACAACTCCCCTTCCCCTCGTTCTCCTCTGCAACCCTAGCGCCGCCATTCCTGCAGCCACGCCCGGCAGCCCCCGTCGCCGGCCAAATCGCCCCCTGTGACTACAGATCCGGCCGCCCCAGTCTATTTCCCGCCGGATTCCATCTTCGCCGCCATCCGATGCGCCTGCTGCAAGGAGCTGCGCCCCCATGTCTCAGAGGAGCTACACCCCGACGCCATTGACGCACGAGCGACGCTCCCAAGCTAGGAGCTGCACCAGGACGACCACGCCCAGCCCGTTTCTCTCTTTTTTGGCTTGTTTGCAGTTTGGCCCGAAATGGACTGCTTCCAGCCGGCCCAAGGTGGCAAGAAGCTGGGCTTCACCGCCCCAGTTGGGCTGCCAGCTCACCCAGGCGCTGGGGAGAAGCTGCCTCGCTCCAGAACAGTTTGCTGCACTCCACGTGAAGTGAGAAGTGAGGCTAGAAGCTGGATATGAGAACTTTTTGAGAAGCTACCAAGTCTCCGAACAGGCCCTAAGTTGCACAAACTTACATGAGCAAGATCACAAGATATGGAATTATATGACATAATATAGCTATCCACACTAATCACAAGATATATCAGTAATAACAAGTATGAAATGCAAAATATAAAGTTTAGGTCTAAACAATCTCTACAAAGGGATAGCCAACACAATATAATGAGGACAACAAGATATATTGAATGCAAGGTCAAGTGACCAAAGTAAACCATAAGTAAGGAGCTAGAGTTAGGGATAACCGAAGACACGGAGATGAAGATGTATCCCAGTGTTCACTTTCTTGAAAGGATGGATGTTAACAGAAAGCATACCAACACCATGAAGGTTCACCGTATTTTCCTTGATATATCACCACGGAGGCAATTCTCAACCACTAGTGGTGGACCTTGAGGTGGTCTCAAAACCTTCACAAACCTTCTACGGGGGACAAATCACAAGTTGATTTCTCACCGGAGCACTCCTACCGCCTAGGAGTCTCCAACCTTCAAGAGTAAGAAGATCAATGGGGAATGCTCAATACTTGCTAAATCACAAAATGCTTTGGTCAAAAGAGTGACAAGGAATGGATCTATCAATGGGTAAAATCTCTCTCAATAACTCTAACAAATCTCTTCGAGAACTAAGAGTTGGTGTATGAGAGAGGAGAGGGAGCCTTTTTCATAGTTCTAGGTTAGATTTTTGTATTTGCTCAACTCATCCGCGAAGTGGTGAAGGGGTATAAATAGTCTAGAAGAAAAATAGCCGTTGGGACAACTTTCTACAGGGTTCGGACGTCTAGCCATTGTAGCTTTGCACCAAGAAGCCTAAAGAACACGGGAAACACAAAGCACTAGGATGGACGTACGGGAAGCAACTCAGGTCGTCCGACCTTAGCACAGACGTCCAGGATGGTACCCAAACTGTCTGGCTAGGAGGTCCAACCTTTTGTTGTTTTACACGCTCGACTCGGACGTCCGGGTAGCAACCAAGACCGCCCGCCCATAGGCCGACATTCAGCAAGCAACCCAAATGTGTAGCCATTTGCAGATTTCAGTGGAATAAGCCAAAAGAATTTTTTTTATCCAGATAAGCTTATCTGGCATTGTACTTGTGTGAATGATATGAGTGCAATAGTGCATAGGTTGCCGGGTGATACGTCTCCGACGTATCTATAATTTTTGATTGCTCCATGCTATATTATCTATTGTTTTGGGCAATATTGGGCTTTATTATCCACTTTTATATTACTTTCGGGACTAACCTATTAACCGGAGGCCCAACCCAGATTTGTTGTTTTATGCCAATTTAAGTGTTTTGAAGAAAAGGAATATCAGACGGAGTCGAAACGGAATGAAATCAACTGGAGAAATTATTTTTGGAAGAAAACACACCCGATGGACTTGGACCCCACGTCAAGGAAGGAACGAGGTTCTCATGAGGGTGGGGGGCGCCCCCCCCCCCTAGGGCGCGCCCCCTGTCTCTTGGGGCCCTCGTGGCTCCCCTGACGTACCTCCTGCACCCATATATACCTACGTGACCTAAAACTTCCAGAATGCACAATAGATCGGGAGTTCCGCCGTCAGAAGCCTCCGTAGCCACCGAAAGCCAATCTAGACCCGTTCCAGCACCCTGCCGGAGGGGGGAATCCTCACCGGTGGCCATCTTCATCATCCCAGTGCTCTCCATGATGAGGAGGGAGTAGTTCTCCCTCGGGGCTAAGGGTATGTACCAGTAGCTATGTGTTTGATCTCTATCTCTCTCGTGTTCTTGAGATGATACGATCTTGATGTATCGCGAGCTTTGCTATCATATTTGGATCCTATGATGTTTCTTACCCCCTTTTCTCTCTTCTAATGAATCGAGTTTCCCCTTTGAAGTAATCTTTTCGGATTGAGTCTTTAAAGATTTGAGAACACTTGATGTATGTCTTGCCGTGGATATCTGTGGTGGCAATGGGATACCGCGTGCCACTTGATGTATGTTTTGGTGACCAACTTACGGGTCCCGCCTATGAATCTATGCATAGGGGTTGGCACACGTTTTCGTCGTGATTCTCCGGTAGAACTTTGGGGCACTCTTTGAGGTCCTTTGTGTTG